TGCTCCCCGTGCACTCCACCCTCTCCCTGTCCGCCCTCCGCACCCTGGAGTGCTGGGAGCGGGCATCCCGGGCCTCCCTGGACGCCCGCGGGGGTCCTCCCCCCGGCTTCCTGGACCCCGGCCCCGTGCCGCCACTCCTCTCGGCCTCGCCCCAACCGCCGGCGGCACAGCCGGCGGCACAGCCGGCGCCCGCCCACCGGCACGGGCGCCACGCCGAGGGTGCGGGGGCGGCCACCCGGGCGGCCGTGGCGGCCGCCATCCACGCCATCGGGGCCGGTGGCAGGACGCCCTTCAGGTGGGGCGGCCGGGGGCAGGGTAGGCCGGTCACCGGGTAGGCCGGTCACGCGGTCGGGAGGTCATCTGGTCACCGGGTCACTCGGTCACCAGGTCATCTGGTCACCGGGTCACTCGGTCGGCAGGTCATCTGGTCACCGGGTCACTCGGTCGGCAGGTCATCTGGTTACCGGGTCACTCGGTCGGCAGGTCATCTGGTCACCTGTTAACTCGGTCACCAGGTCATCTGGTTACCGGGTCACTCGGTCGGCAGGTCATCTGGTTACCAGGTCACTCGGTCGGCAGGTCATCTGGTTACCGGGTCACTCGGTCGGCAGGTCATCTGGTCACCTGTTCACTCGGTCGGCAGGTCATCTGGTTACCGGGTCACTCGGTCGGCAGGTCATCTGGTCACCTGTTGACTCAGTCGGCAGGTCATCTGGTTACCGGGTCACTCGGTCCGAAGGTCATCTGGTTACCGGGTCACTCGGTCGGCAGGTCATCTGGTCACCTGTCCACTCAGTCGGCAGGTCATCTGGTTACCGGGTCACTCGGTCGGAAGGTCATCTGGTTACCAGGTCACTCGGTCGGCAGGTCATCTGGTCACCGGGTCACTCGGTCGGCAGGTCATCTGGTTACACGGTAGCCCGGTCGCCAGATGAACCAGTCGTACGGCTACCAGGTAACCCAGATGATGATGGTGGTGCTGATGGTGTTGCTGATGATGCTGATAATGATGCTGATGATGCTGCCACTGATGATGATGTTGCTGCTGCTGATGATGATGCTGCTGATGATGCTGCTGGCTCCAGGTCCCACCACCGATCAGCACTGCCGGTACGTCGCCTCTGGTTGACGCTGCTCAGCATGGAGCAGCTGCACTCCACCTTCCTGCGCTACTCACTCACCCACAGGCGTCCTCAGCATGAGGTGAGCGCCCGCTCACTCACTCGCTCACTCACTCACTCACCCACTCACCCACTCACTCACTCACTCGCTCACTCGCTCGCTCACTCACTCACCCACCCACCCACCCGCTCACTCACTCACCCACCCACCCGCTCACTCGCTCACTCACTCGCTCACTCACCCACCCACCCGCTCACTCACTCACCCACCCACCCGCTCACTCGCTCACTCACTCGCTCACTCACCCACCCACCCGCTCACTCACTCACCCACCCACCCGCTCACTCGCTCACTCACTCGCTCACTCACCCACCCACCCGCTCACTCACTCACCCACCCACCCGCTCACTCGCTCACTCACTCGCTCACTCACCCACCCACCCGCTCACTCACTCGCTCACTCACCCACTCACTCACTCACTCACCCACTCACTCACTCACTCACCCACTCACTCACTCACTCACCCACTCACTCACCCACTCACTCACTCACCCGCTCACTCGCTCGCTCACTCACTCATTCACTCACTCACTCACTCACCCACCCACTCACTCACTCACTCACTCGCTCACTCATTCACCCACTCACTCACTCACCCACTCACTCACTCGCTCACCCACTCACTCACTCGCTCACTCACTCACTCACCCACTCAGTCACTCACTCGCTCACTCGCCCACTCACTCACTCACTCACCCACTCACCCACTCACCCACTCACTCACTCACTCACTCGCTCGCTCACCCACTCACTCACTAGCCCGCTCGCTCATTCACTCACTCACTCGCTCACTCATTCACCCACTCACCCACTCACTCACTCACTCACCCACTCACCCACTCACTCACTCACTCACCCACTCACCCGCTCACTCGCTCGCTCACCCACTCACCCACTCACCCACTCACTCACTTGCTCAGCAGCTGGATGCTTAGCAGGGTGAGCTGAGTGGTGGTGATGGTGGTTGTTGTTGTGGTTGTTGTTATGGTTGTTGTGGTTGTTGTGGTGAGCAGTTGGAGGCTGAGCAAGGTGAGCTGAGTGGTGGTGATGGTGGTTGTTGTTGTGGTGGTTGTTGTTGTTGTGGTTGTTGTTGTTGTTGTGGTTGTTGTTGTGGTTGTGGTTGTTGTTGTTGTGGTTGTTGTTGTTGTGGTTGTTGTTGTTGTTGTGGTTGTTGTTGTTGTTGTGGTTGTTGTTGTGGTTGTTGTTATTGTGGTTGTTGTTGTTGTGGTTGTTGTTGTGAGCAGCTGGAGGCTGAACAAGGTGAACTGAGTGGTGGTGGTTGTTGTTGTTGTTGTGGTTGTTGTGGTTGTTGTGGTGGTTGTTGTTGTTGTGGTTGTTGTTGTTGTGGTTGTTGTTGTGGTTGTTGTTGTTGTGGTTGTTGTTGTGGTTGTTGTTGTCGTTGTTGTTGTGGTTGTTGTTGTTGTGGTTGTTGTGGTTGTTGTTGTGATGGTTGTTGTTGTTGTGGTTGTTGTTGTTGTGGTTATTGTGGTTGTTGTTGTGGTTGGTGTGGTTGTTGTTGTTGTCGTTGTTGTTGTGGTTGTGGTTGTTGTTGTGGTTGTTGTTGTGGTTGTTGTGGTTGTTGTTGTTGTTGTGGTTGTGGTTGTTGTTGTTGTGGTTGTTGTTGTTCTTGTGGTTGTTGTGGTTGTTGTTGGTGTGGTTGTTGTTGTGGTTGTGGATGTTGTTGTTGTTGTGGTTGTTGTTGATATTGTGGTTGTTGTTGTGGTTGTTGTGGTTGTTGTTGTTGTGGTTGTTGTGAGCAGCTGGAGGCTGAGCAGGGTGAGCTGAGTGGGCCGGCTCGGATTGTCCACAAGGAGACCGACGCCATCAACGCCTTTGCTGTCAACATGGTGAGTGGTGGTGAGTGGTGGTGAGTGGTGGTGAGTGGTGGTGAGTGGTGGTGAGTAGTGAGTGGTGGTGAGTGGTGGTGGTGGTGAGTGGTGGTGAGTAGTGAGTGGTGGTGAGTGGTGGTGGTGGTGGTGGTGAGTGGGTGGGTGTGTGAGTGAGAGGTGGTGAGTGGTGGTGAGTGGTGGTGAGTGGTCAGTGGTGAGTGGGTGGGTGTGTGAGTGAGTGGTGCTGAGTGGTGGTGAGTGGTGGTGGATGGGTGGGTGGTGAGTGGTGGTGAGTGGTGGTGAGTGGTGGTGAATGGTGAGTGGTGGTGGTGAGTGGTGAGTGGTGGTGCGTGGTGGTGAGTGGTGAGTGGTGGTGAGTAGTGAGTGGTGGTGAGTGGTGAGTGGTGGTGAGTGGTGGTGAGTGGTGGTGAGTGGTGGTGAGTGGTGGTGAGTGGTGAGTGGTGGTGAGTGGTGAGTGGGTGGGTGTGTGAGTGAGAGGTGGTGAGTGGTGGTGAGTGGTGGTGAGTGGTGAGTGGTGGTGAGTGGTGGTGAGTAGTGAGTGGTGGTGAGTGGTGGTGGTGAGTGGTGGTGAGTAGTGAGTGGTGGTGAGTGGTGGTGAGTGGTGGTGGTGAGTGGTGAGTGGTGGTGAGTGGTGGTGAGTGGTGAGTGGTGGTGAGTGGTGGTGAGTAGTGAGTGGTGGTGAGTGGTGGTGAGTGGTGGTGGTGAGTGGGTGGGTGTGTGAGTGAGTGGTGGTGAGTGGTGGTGAGTGGTGGTGAGTGGTGAGTGGTGGTGAGTGGTGGTGAGTGGTGGTGAGTGGTCAGTGGTGAGTGGTGGTGAGTGGTGAGTGGGTGGGTGTGTGAGTGAGTGGTGCTGAGTGGTGGTGAGTGGTGGTGGATGGGTGGGTGGTGAGTGGTGGTGAGTGGTGGTGAGTGGTGGTGAATGGTGAGTGGTGGTGGTGAGTGGTGAGTGGTGGTGAGTGGTGGTGAGTGGTGGTGAGTAGTGAGTGGTGGTGAGTGGTGAGTGGTGGTGAGTGGTGGTGAGTGGTGGTGAGTGGTGGTGGTGAGTGGTGAGTGGTGGTGAGTGGTGGTGAGTGGTGAGTGGTGGTGAGTAGTGAGTGGTGGTGAGTGGTGAGTGGTGGTGAGTGGTGGTGAGTGGTGGTGAGTGGTGGTGGTGAGTGGTGAGTGGTGGTGAGTGGTCAGTGGTCAGTGGGTGGGTGTGTGAGTGAGTGGTGGTGAGTGGTGGTGGATGGGTGGGTGGTGAGTGGTGGTGAGTGGTGGTGAGTGGTGAGTGAGTGAGTGGTGGTGAGTGGTGGGGAGTGGTGGGGAGTGGTGAGTGGTGGTGAGTGGTGGTGAGTGGTGAGTGGTGGTGAGTGGTGGTGAGTGGTGGTGGGTGGTGAGTGGTGGTAAGTGGTGAGTGGTGAGTGGGGGTGAGTGGTAGTGAGTGGTGAGTGGTGGTGAGTGGTGAGTGGTGGTGAGTGGTGAGTGGTGGTGAGTGGTGGTGAGTGGTGGTGGGTGGTGAGTGGTGAGTGGGTGGGTGTGTGAGTGAGTGGTGGTGAGTGGTGGTGAGTGGTGGTGAGTGGTGAGTGGATGGGTGGGTGGTGAGTGGTGGTGAGTTGTGAGTGAGTGGTGGTGAGTGGTGGTGGTGAGTGGTGAGTGGTGGTGAGTGGTGGGTGGGTGTGTGAGTGGTGAGTGGATGGGTGGATGAGTGAGTGAGTAGGTGGGTGAATGGTGAGTAAGTGGGCGAGTGGTTGAGTGAGTGGGTGGATGTTTAGTGGGTGGTGAGTGCGTGGGGTGAGCGAGTAGGTGAGTAGGTGAGTGGAGTGTCTCCGCCTTTTACTCCCCCCATGTCTCCCCCCGTGTCTCCCCCCGTGTCTCTACAGGAGACTAACCCCACGTGTCTCTACAGGAGACTAACCCCTCCGTGTCTCTACAGGAGACTAACCCCCACGTGTCTCTACAGGAGACTAACTCCCCCGTGTCTCTACAGGAGACTAACCCCTCCGTGTCTCTACAGGAGACTAACCCCCCCGTGTCTCTACAGGAGACTAACCCCCCCGTGTCTCTACAGGAGACTAACCCCCCGTGTCTCTACAGGAGACTAACCCCCGTGTCTGTACAGGAGACTAACCCCCACGTGTCTCTACAGGAGACTAACCCCCACGTGTCTCTACAGGAGACTAACCCCCCCGTGTCTCTACAGGAGACTAACCCCCCCCGTGTCTCTACAGGAGACTAACCCCCCCGTGTCTCTACAGGAGACTAACCCCCACGTGTCTCTACAGGAGACTAACCCCCCCGTGTCTCTACAGGAGACTAACCCCCCCGTGTCTCTACAGGAGACTAACCCCCCCGTGTCTCTACAGGAGACTAACCCCCCCGTGTCTCTACAGGAGACTAACCCCCCTGTGTCTCTACAGGAGACTGACCCCCCCGTGTCTCTACAGGAGACTAACCCCCTGTGTCTCTACAGGAGACTAACCCCCCCGTGTCTCTACAGGAGACTAACCCCCCGTGTCTCTGTGTCTCTACAGGAGACTAACCCCCCCGTGTCTCTACAGGAGACTAACCCCCCCGTGTCTCTACAGGAGACTAACCCCCCGTGTCTCTACAGGAGACTAACCCCCCCGTGTCTCTACAGGAGACTAACCCCCCCGTGTCTCTACAGGAGACTAACCCCCCGTGTCTCTACAGGAGACTAACCCCCTGTGTCTCTACAGGAGACTAACCCCCCCGTGTCTCTACAGGAGACTAACCCCCCCATGTCTCTACAGGAGACTAACCCCCGTGTCTCTACAGGAGACTAACCCCCACGTGTCTCTACAGGAGACTAACCCCCCCGTGTCTCTACAGGAGACTAACCCCCCCATTTCTCTACAGGAGACTAACCCCCTGTGTCTCTACAGGAGACTAACCCCCCCGTGTCTCTACAGGAGACTAACCCCCGTGTCTCTACAGGAGACTAACCCCCCCGTGTCTCTACAGGAGACTAACCCCCCGTGTCTCTACAGGAGACTAACCCCCCCGTGTCTCTACAGGAGACTAACCCCCCCGTGTCTCTACAGGAGACTAACCCCCACGTGTCTCTACAGGAGACTAACCCCCCGTGTCTCTACAGGAGACTAACCCCCCACGTGTCTCTACAGGAGACTAACCCCCACGTGTCTCTACAGGAGACTAACCCCCCCGTGTCTCTACAGGAGACTAACCCCCCGTGTCTCTACAGGAGACTAACCCCCCGTGTCTCTACAGGAGACTAACCCCCGTGTCTCTACAGGAGACTAACCCCCCGTGTCTCTACAGGAGACCAACCCCCTTGTCTCTACAGGAGACTAACCCCCCCGTGTCTCTACAGGAGACTAACCCCCCCGTGTCTCTACAGGAGACTAACCCCCACGTGTCTCTACAGGAGACTAACCCCCACGTGTCTCTACAGGAGACTAACCCCCTGTGTCTCTACAGGAGACTAACCCCCTGTGTCTCTACAGGAGACTAACCCCCCCGTGTCTCTACAGGAGACTAACCCCCCCGTGTCTCTACAGGAGACTAACCCCCCGTGTCTCTACATGAGACTAACCCCCCCGTGTCTCTACAGGAGACTAACCCCCCCGTGTCTCTACAGGAGACTAACCCCCCGTGTCTCTACAGGAGACTAACCCCCCCGTGTCTCTACAGGAGACTAACCCCCCGTGTCTCTACAGGAGACTAACCCCCCCCGTGTCTCTACAGGAGACTAACTCCCCCGTGTCTCTACAGGAGACTAACCCCCACGTGTCTCTACAGGAGACTAACCCCCCCGTGTCTCTACAGGACACTAACCCCCCGTGTCTCTACAGGAGACTAACCCCCCCGTGTCTCTACAGGAGACTAACCCCCCCGTGTCTCTACAGGAGACTAACCCCCACGTGTCTCTACAGGAGACTAACCCCCCGTGTCTCTACAGGAGACTAACCCCCCCGTGTCTCTACAGGAGACTAACCCCCCGTGTCTCTACAGGAGACTAACCCCCCGTGTCTCTACAGGAGACTAACCCCCCGTGTCTCTACAGGAGACTAACCCCCCGTGTCTCTACAGGAGACTAACCCCCCGTATCTCCCCCGTGTCTCTACAGGAGACTAACCCCCCCGTGTCTCTACAGGAGACTAACCCCCCGTGTCTCTACAGGAGACTAACCCCCCCGTGTCTCTACAGGAGACTAACCCCCACGTGTCTCTACAGGAGACTAACCCCCCGTGTCTCTACAGGAGACTAGCCCCCCGTGTCTCTACAGGAGACTAACTCCCCCGTGTCTCTACAGGAGACTAACCCCCACGTGTCTCTACAGGAGACTAACCCCCCCGTGTCTCTACAGGAGACTAACTCCCCCGTGTCTCTACAGGAGACTAACCCCCCCGTGTCTCTACAGGAGACTAACCCCCACGTGTCTCTACAGGAGACTAACCCCCCCGTGTCTCTACAGGAGACTAACCCCCACGTGTCTCTACAGGAGACTAACCCCCCGTGTCTCTACAGGAGACTAACCCCCCCGTGTCTCTACAGGAGACTAACCCCCCGTGTCTCTACAGGAGACTAACCCCCCGTGTCTCTACAGGAGACTAACCCCCGTGTCTCTACAGGAGACTAACCCCCCGTGTCTCTACAGGAGACTAACCCCCCGTATCTCCCCCGTGTCTCTACAGGAGACTAACCCCCCCGTGTCTCTACAGGAGACTAACCCCCCGTGTCTCTACAGGAGACTAACCCCCCCGTGTCTCTACAGGAGACTAACCCCCACGTGTCTCTACAGGAGACTAACCCCCCGTGTCTCTACAGGAGACTAGCCCCCCGTATCTCCCCCGTGTCTCTACAGGAGACTAACCCCCCCGTGTCTCTACAGGAGACTAACCCCCCCGTGTCTCTACAGGAGACTAACCCCCCGTGTCTCTACAGGAGACTAACCCCCCGTGTCTCCCCCCCGTGTCTCCCTCCCCCGTGTCTCCGTGTCTCTTCAGGCGAACCCGGCGTGTCTCTACAGGAGACTAACCCCCCCGTGTCTCCCCCCCCCGTGTCTCCGTGTCTCTGCAGGCGAACCCGGCGTGTCTCGCCCTGGCAGGGAGCCACGACCTGCAGGAGCTCGACGTCTCCTCCGTGCTCACGTCGCGCACGCACAGCTGGGCGCACGCAGAGACACGGTGCGGACACGCAGAGACACGGGGGAGACACGCAGAGACACGGGGGACACACGGGGGACACACGGGGGAGACACGCAGAGACACGCAGAGACACGGGGGAGACACGCAGAGACACGCAGAGACACGGGGGAGACACGCAGAGACACGCAGAGACACGGTGCGGACACGCAGAGACACGCAGAGACACGGGGGAGACACGGGGGAGACACGCAGAGACACGCAGAGACACGGTGCGGACACGCAGAGACACGCAGAGACACGGGGGAGACACGGGGGAGACACGCAGTGACACGCAGAGACACGGTGCGGACACGCAGAGACACGCAGAGACACGGGGGAGACACGCAGAGACAAGGAGAGACACGTCGCACACGCACAGCTAGGCCCACGCAGAGACACGGTGCGGACACGCACACAGAGACACGGGGGAGACACGCAGAGACACGCAGAGACACAGGGGGACACAGAGACACGGGGAGACACAGGGGAGACACACAGAGACACGGGGGGACACACGGGAGACACACAGAGACACGGGGGGACACAGAGACACGGGGAGACACAGGGGAGACACGGAGGGGATACAATGAAGAGACACGTTCCGTCTCCATGGCGATGACGATGCTCCGTTGCCCCCCACTCCGTCTCCATGGCGACGACGACGACGCTCCGTTGCCCCCCACTCCGTCTCCGTGACGACGACGACGCTCCGTTGCCCCCCACTCGGTCTCCATGGCGACGATGACGACCCGTTGCCCCCCAACTCCGTCTCCATGGCGACGATGATGCTCCGTTGCCCCCCACTCCGTCTCCATGGCGACGACGATGACGCTCCGTTGCCCCCCACTCCGTCTCCATGGCGACGACGATGACGCTCCGTTGCCCCCCAACTCCGTCTCCATGGCGACGACGACGCTGCGTTGCCCCCCACTCCGTCTCCATGGCGACGATGACGCTCCGTTGCCCCCCAACTCGGTCTCCATGGCGACGACGACGCTCCGTTGCCCCCCACTCGGTTTCCATGGCGACGATGACGCTCCGTTGCCCCCCAACTCCGTCTCCATGGCGACGATGACGCTGCGTTGCCCCCCACTCGGTCTCCATGGCGACGATGACGATGCTCCGTTGCCCCCCAACTCCGTCTCCATGGCGACGATGACGCTCCGTTGCCCCCCAACTCGGTCTCCATGGCGACGACGACGCTCCGTTGCCCCCCAACTCCGTCTCCATGGCGAAGACGACGCTGCGTTGCCCCCCACTCGGTTTCCATGGCGACGATGACGCTCCGTTGCCCCCCAACTCCGTCTCCATGGCGACGACGACGCTCCGTTGCCCCCCACTCGGTTTCCATGGCGACGATGACGCTCCGTTGCCCCCCAACTCCGTCTCCATGGCGACGATGACGACGCTCCGTTGCCCCCCACTCCGTCTCCATGGCGACGATGACGATGCTCCTTTGCCCCCCACTCCGTCTCCATGGCGACGATGACGACGCTCCGTTGCCCCCCACTCCGTCTCCATGGCGACGATGATGACGCTCCGTTGCCCCCCACTCCGTCTCCATGGCGACGACGACGCTCCGTTGCCCCCCACTCCGTCTCCATGGCGACGATGACGACGCTCCGTTGCCCCCCACTCCGTCTCCATGGCGACGATGACGACGCTCCGTTGCCCCCCACTCCGTCTCCATGGCGACGATGACGACGCTCCGTTGCCCCCCACTCCGTCTCCATGGCGACGATGACGCTGCGTTGCCCCCCAACTCCGTCTCCATGGCGACGAGGACGAGGCTCCGTTGCCCCCCACTCCGTCTCCATGGCGACGATGACGCTGCGTTGCCCCCCACTCGGTCTCCATGGCGACGATGACGATGCTCCGTTGCCCCCCAACTCCGTCTCCATGGCGACGATGACGCTCCGTTGCCCCCCACCCCCGTCTCCATGGCGACGATGACGCTGCGTTGCCCCCCACTCGGTCTCCATGGCGACGATGACGCTCCGTTGCCCCCCAACTCCGTCTCCATGGCGACGATGACGCTGCGTTGCCCCCCACTCGGTCTCCATGGCGACGATGACGCTCCGTTGCCCCCCAACTCCGTCTCCATGGCGACGATGACGCTGCGTTGCCCCCTACTCGGTTTCCATGGCGACGATGACGCTCCGTTGCCCCCCAACTCGGTCTCCATGGCGACGACGACACTCCGTTGCCCCCCACTCGGTTTCCATGGCGACGATGACGCTCCGTTGCCCCCCAACTCCGTCTCCATGGCGACGATGACGACGCTCCGTTGCCCCCCACTCCGTCTCCATGGCGACGATGACGACGCTCCGTTGCCCCCCACTCCGTCTCCATGGCGACGATGACGATGCTCCGTTGCCCCCCACTCGGTCTCCATGGCGACGACGACGCTCCGTGCCCCCCACTCCGTCTCCAGGTCCCTGGAGCTGCTGCTGCTGCCCCTGCTGGAGGAGACGGAGGGGGAGCCGTGGGGGGGGCCGTGGGGGGGGGCGCCCCCCCCCACCTCCCCCCCCCCCCACGCCCGCACCCCCACTGGGGGGCCCCTGGGGGTCACCGCCGCGCGCTGGCCGGGAGGGGGCCAGACGGCCACCGGCACCACCGTGGTGAGTTTACCGTGGACGGGTTCACCGTGGTGAGTTTACCGTGGACGGGTTCACCGTGGTGAGTTTACCGTGGTGAGTTTACCGTGGTGAGTTTACCGTGGTGAGTTTACCGTGGTGAGTTTACCGTGGACGGGTTCACCGTGGTGAGTTTACCGTGGTGAGTTTACCGTGGACGGGTTCACCGTGGTGAGTTTACCGTGGTGAGTTTACCGTGGTGAGTTTACCGTGGACGGGTTCACCGTGGCTGGGTTCACCGTGGACGGGTTCACCGTGGTGAGTTTACCGTGGACGGGTTCACCGTGGTGAGTTCACCGTGGTGAGTTTACCGTGGTGAGTTTACCGTGGTGAGTTTACCGTGGTGAGTTTACCGTGGTGAGTTTACCATGGTGAGTTTACCATGGTGAGTTCACCGTGGTGAGTTTACCGTGGTGGGTTTACCGTGGTGAGTTTACCGTGGTGAGTTTACCGTGGTGGGTTTACCGTGGTGAGTTTACCGTGGACGGGTTCACCGTGGTGAGTTTACCGTGGTGAGTTTACCGTGGTGAGTTTACCGTGGTGAGTTTATCGTGGACGAGTTTACCGTGGTGAGTTTACCGTGGACGGGTTCACTGTGGTGAGTTTTCCGTGGTGAGTTTACCGTGGACGGGTTCACCGTGGTGAGTTTACCGTGGTGAGTTTACCGTGGTGAGTTTACCGTGGACGGGTTCACCGTGGCTGGGTTCACCGTGGACGGGTTCACCGTGGTGAGTTTACCGTGGACGGGTTCACCGTGGTGAGTTCACCGTGGTGAGTTTACCGTGGTGAGTTTACCGTGGTGAGTTTACCGTGGTGAGTTTACCGTGGTGAGTTTACCATGGTGAGTTTACCGTGGTGAGTTCACCGTGGTGAGTTTACCGTGGTGGGTTTACCGTGGTGAGTTTACCGTGGTGAGTTTACCGTGGTGAGTTTACCGTGGTGAGTTTACCGTGGACGGGTTCACCGTGGTGAGTTTACCGTGGTGAGTTTACCGTGGTGAGTTCACCGTGGTGAGTTTACCGTGGTGAGTTTACCGTGGTGAGTTTACCGTGGTGAGTTTACCGTGGTGAGTTTACCATGGTGAGTTTACCATGGTGAGTTTACCGTGGTGAGTTTACCGTGGTGAGTTTACCGTGGTGAGTTTACCGTGGTGGGTTTACCGTGGTGAGTTTACCGTGGACGGGTTCACCGTGGTGAGTTTACCGTGGTGAGTTTACCATGGTGAGTTCACCGTGGTGAGTTTACCGTGGTGAGTTTACCGTGGTGAGTTTACCGTGGTGAGTTTACCGTGGTGAGTTTACCATGGTGAGTTTACCATGGTGAGTTTACCGTGGTGGGTTTACCGTGGTGAGTTTACCGTGGTGAGTTTACCGTGGTGGGTTTACCGTGGTGAGTTTACCGTGGACGGGTTCACCGTGGTGAGTTTACCGTGGTGAGTTTACCGTGGTGAGTTCACCGTGGTGAGTTTACCGTGGTGAGTTCACCGTGGTGAGTTTACCGTGGACGGGTTCACCGTGGTGAGTTTACCGTGGTGAGTTTACCGTGGTGAGTTTACCATGGTGAGTTTACCGTGGTGAGTTTACCGTGGTGGGTTTACCGTGGTGAGTTTACCGTGGTGAGTTTACCATGGTGAGTTTACCGTGGTGAGTTTACCGTGGTGGGTTTACCGTGGTGAGTTTACCGTGGTGAGTTCACCGTGGTGAGTTTACCGTGGTGGGTTTACCGTGGTGAGTTCACCGTGGTGAGTTTACCGTGGTGAGTTTACCGTGGTGAGTTTACCGTGGACGGGTTCACCGTGGTGAGTTTACTGTGGTGAGTTTACCGTGGCTGGGTTCACCGTGGTGAGTTTACCGTGGTGAGTTTACCGTGGTGAGTTTACCGTGGTGAGTTTACCGTGGACGGGTTCACCGTGGTGAGTTTACCGTGGCTGGGTTCACCGTGGTAAGTTTACCGTGGACGGGTTCACCGTGGTGAGTTTACCGTGGTGAGTTTACCGTGGTGAGTTCACCGTGGCCAGGTTCACCGTGGTGAGTTTACCGTGGTGAGTTTACCGTGGTGAGTTCACCGTGGTGAGTTTACCGTGGCCAGGTTCACCGTGGTGAGTTTACCGTGGTGAGTTTACCGTGGTGGGTTTACCGTGGTGAGTTTACCGTGGTGAGTTCACCGTGGTGAGTTTACCGTGGTGAGTTTACCGTGGTGAGTTTACCATGGTGAGTTTACCGTGGTGAGTTCACCGTGGTGAGTTTACCGTGGTGAGTTTACCGTGGTGAGTTTACCGTGGTGAGTTTACCGTGGACGGGTTCACCGTGGTGAGTTTACCGTGGTGAGTTTACCGTGGTGAGTTTACCGTGGTGAGTTTACCGTGGCCAGGTTCACCATGGTGAGTTTACCGTGGACGGGTTCACCGTGGTGAGTTTACCGTGGCCGGGTTCACCGTGGTGAGTTTACCGTGGTGAGTTCACCGTGGTGAGTTTACCGTGGTGAGTTTACCGTGGCCGGGTTCACCGTGGTGAGTTTACCGTGGCTGGGTTCACCGTGGTGAGTTTACCGTGGCCGGGTTCACCGTGGTGAGTTTACCGTGGACGGGTTCACCGTGGTGAGTTTACCGTGGTGGGTTTACCGTGGTGAGTTTACCGTGGTGAGTTTACCGTGGTGAGTTTACCGTGGACGGGTTCACCGTGGTGAGTTTACCGTGGACGGGTTCACCGTGGTGAGTTTACCGTGGTGAGTTTACCGTGGTGAGTTTACCGTGGTGAGTTTACCGTGGTGAGTTTACCGTGGTGAGTTTACCGTGGTGAGTTTACCGTGGACGGGTTCACCGTGGTGAGTTTACCGTGGTGAGTTTACCGTGGTGAGTTTACCGTGGACGGGTTCACCGTGGTGAGTTCACCGTGGTGAGTTTACCGTGGTGAGTTTACCGTGGTGAGTTTACCGTGGTGAGTTTACCGTGGCCAGGTTCACCGTGGTGAGTTTACCGTGGACGGGTTCACCGTGGTGAGTTTACCGTGGTGAGTTTACCATGGCTGGGTTCACCGTGGTGAGTTTACCGTGGTGAGTTTACCGTGGTGAGTTCACCGTGGCTGGGTTCACCGTGGTGAGTTTACCGTGGTGGGTTTACCGTGGCTGGGTTCACCGTGGTGAGTTTACCGTGGACGGGTTCACCGTGGTGAGTTTACCGTGGTGAGTTTACCGTGGCTGGGTTCACCGTGGTGAGTTCACCGTGGTGAGTTTACCGTGGCTGGGTTTACCGTGGCCGGGTTCACTGTGGTGAGTTTACCGTGGACGGGTTCACCGTGGTGAGTTCACCGTGGTGAGTTTACCGTGGCCGGGTTCACCGTGGTGAGTTTACCGTGGTGAGTTTACCGTGGTGAGTTTACCGTGGCCAGGTTCACCGTGGTGAGTTTACCGTGGACGGGTTCACCGTGGTGAGTTCACCGTGGTGAGTTTACCGTGGTGAGTTTACCGTGGTGAGTTTACCGTGGACGGGTTTACCCGTGGTGAGTTTACCGTGGTGAGTTTACCGTGGTGAGTTTACCGTGGTGAGTTTACCGTGGACGGGTTCACCGTGGTGAGTTTACCGTGGTGAGTTTACCGTGGTGAGTTTACCGTGGTGAGTTTACCGTGGACGGGTTCACCGTGGTGAGTTTACCGTGGTGAGTTTACCGTGGTGAGTTTACCGTGGACGGGTTCACCGTGGTGAGTTCACCGTGGTGAGTTCACCGTGGTGAGTTTACCGTGGACGGGTTCACCGTGGTGAGTTTACCGTGGTGAGTTTACCGTGGCCAGGTTCACCGTGGTGAGTTTACCGTGGTGAGTTTACCGTGGTGAGTTTACCGTGGACGGGTTCACCGTGGTGAGTTTACCGTGGTGAGTTCACCGTGGTGAGTTTACCATGGCCAGGTTCACCGTGGTGAGTTCACCGTGGTGAGTTTACCGTGGTGAGTTTACCGTGGCCAGGTTCACCGTGGTGAGTTTACCGTGGTGAGTTTACCGTGGCCAGGTTCACCGTGGTGAGTTTACCGTGGTGGGTTTACCGTGGTGAGTTTACCGTGGCCAGGTTCACCGTGGTGAGTTTACCGTGGCCAGGTTCACCGTGGTGAGTTTACCGTGGTGGGTTTACCGTGGTGAGTTTACCGTGGCTAGGTTCACCGTGGTGAGTTTACCGTGGCCAGGTTCACCGTGGTGAGTTTACCGTGGTGAGTTTACCGTGGCTGGATTCACCGTGGTGAGTTTACCGTGGCCAGGTTCACCGTGGTGAGTTTACCGTGGCCAGGTTCACCGTGGTGAGTTTACCGTGGTGAGTTTACCGTGGTGAGTTTACCGTGGTGAGTTTACCGTGGTGAGTTCACCGTGGTGAGTTTACCGTGGTGAGTTTACCGTGGTGAGTTTACAGTGGCCGTGTTCACCGTGGTGAGTTTACCGTGGCCAGGTTCACCGTGGTGAGTTTACCGTGGTGGGTTTACCGTGGTGAGTTTACCGTGGCCAGGTTCACCGTGGTGAGTTTACCGTGATGAGTTTACCGTGGTGAGTTTACCGTGGTGAGTTTACCGTGGTGAGTTTACCGTGGTGAGTTCACCGTGGTGGGTTTACCGTGGTGAGTTTACCGTGGTGGGTTCACTGTGGCCGGGTTTACCGTGGTGAGTTTACCGTGGCCAGGTTCACCGTGGTGAGTTCACCGTGGTGAGTTTACTGTGGCCGGGTTCACCGTGGTGAGTTAACCGTGGCCAGGTTCACCGTGGTGAGTTTACCGTGGTGAGTTTACCGTGGCCAGGTTCACCGTGGTGAGTTTACCGTGGTGAGTTTACCGTGGACGGGTTCACCGTGGTGGCCGTGTCTCTGTGTGGGGTTCAGGTGCTCCCCCTCCTCCCTCCTCTCCCCTCCCCCCGTAGCTCATCAAGAGGAATCTCAACAACGTCAAGAAGATAGCTTCACACCCTACACTGCCGTACTGTGAGTCCACGTGGGTGGGTGGGTTCACGGTGGGTGGGTGGTGGGGTTCACGGTGGGTGGGTGGGTGGGTGGGGTTCACGGTGGGTGGGTGGGTGGGGTTCACAGTGGGTGGGTGGGTGGGGTTCACGGTGACAGTGTGGGTGGGTGGGGTTCACGGTGGGTGGGTGGGTGGGGTTCACGGTGGGTGGGTGGGTGGGGTTCACGGTGGGTGGGTGGGGTTCACGATGACCGTGTGGGTGGGTGGGGTTCACGGTGGGTGGGTGGGTGGGGTTCACGGTGGGTGGGTGGGGTTCACGGTGGGTGGGTGGGGTTCACGATGACCGTGTGGGTGGGTGGGGTTCACAGTGGGTGGGTGGGTGGGGTTCACGGTGGGTGGGTGGGGTTCACGGTGGGTGAGTGGGTGGGTGGGGTTCACGGTGACCGTGTGGGTGGGTGGGTGGGGTTCACGGTGACCGTGTGGGTGGGTGGGTGGGGTTCACGGTGGGTGGGTGGGTGGGGTTCACGGTGGGTGGGTGGGGTTCACGATGACCGTGTGGGTGGGTGGGGTTCACAGTGGGTGGGTGGGTGGGGTTCACGGTGGGTGGGTGGGGTTCACGGTGGGTGGGTGTGGTTCACGGTGACCGTGTGGGTGGGTGGGTGGGGTTCACGGTGGGTGGGTGGGGTTCACGGTGACCGTGTGGGTGGGTGGGGTTCTGTATGGTAGACGTGATATGATGTGTGGTGTGATGCGTGTTGTGTGTGTGGTATGCTGAGTGGTATGCTGCATGGTGTGTGTTGTGTGCTGCGTGTTGTGTGCGTGGTGTGATGCGTGGTGAGTGGTATGATGCGTGGTATGCTGCGTGTTGTGTTGTGCTGCGTGTTGTGTGCTTCGTGCTGTGTGGTATGCTGAGTGGTATGCTGAGTGGTATGCTGAGTGGTATGCTGAGTGGTATGCTGCGTGTTGTTGTTGTGCTGCGTGTTGTGTGGTGTGTGCGTGTTGTGTGTGTGGCATGCTGAGTGGTATGCTGAGTGTTGTGCTGCGTGTTGTTGTTGTTGTTGTGCTGCAGACGTGACGGGGGCCCAGGACGGCAGCGTCAGGATGTTTGAGTGGGGCCACGCCCAGCAGCTGAGCTGCTACCGTCAGCCTGGCAATGCCCGTGTCACCCACATCACATTCACACAGCACGGGGAGCGGGTGGGTGGTGGTGGGTGGGTGAGCCCGTGTCACCCACATCACATTCACACAGCACGGGGAGCGGGTGGGTGGTGGTGGTGGGGGGGTGGTGGGTGGGTGGTGGGGGTGGTGGGTGGGTGGGGGGGGGTGGGGGTGGGGGGGGTGGGGGGGGGGGTGAGTTGGTGAGTGTGCTGGTGAGTTGGTGGGTGAGTTAGTGAGCCCGTGTCACCCACATCACATTCACACAGCACGGGGAGCGGGTGGGTGGTGGTGGGGGGGTGGTGGGGGGGTGGTGGGGGGGTGGTGGGTGGTGGGGGGGTGGTGGGTGGGTGGTGGGTGGTGGGTGGGTTGGTGGGTGAGTTGGAGGGTGAGTTGGTGGGTGAGTTGGAGGGTGAGTTGGAGGGTGAGTTGGTGGGTGAGTTGGTGGGTGAGTTGGAGGGTGAGTTGGTGGGTGGGTTGGTGGGTGGGTTGGAGGGTGAGTTGGTGGGTGAGTTGGTGAGTTGGTGAGCCCGTGTCACCCAC